ATATATATATATATATATGTAATTATTAAGTTGTGTAAGTTTAGTTTCATAGTCTATATTTAAAGAGTTATATATTACTACTAGTTATTTAATAATTTATAGATAAAATATTTTACATTTTAATTATGTTTATTATATATTTAACTGTTTTATTAATATTCTTATATTTTATTTTTTTTAAAATAAATACTAAAATTATAATAAAAAAATCCAATCTTTAAATTGAATTGGATCATATTTAAATCTTAAACTAAAACCTATTGAATGGTAAATTAAAAAAAATCAAAATAATTGAACAAGATTGTTTTCTTCTTCTCGACTCAACTAATTTTAGAAAAAAAAAACTTTAATTATCTTTTTGGTATATATAATTTCATAAACTTTATATTTTAGTCTTTATAATAAAAAATATTTTATTTTCATTTTTGTATATATATATATATATTTAAAAATTTCGATAGTTGTATAAATTTAGTTTTTTGGTTTTTTTTTTAAGAAATAGACTACTAAAACTATAAAGGATAAAATAGTATATATAAAGAATAAAATGAAATATTTTTAATTGAAAAGAAAAGAAAAAGTAATTAAACCAAAAATAAAAGAGAAAAGAGAGACTGGTTGAATTGCTTATGCAGTAATGCATGGGAAGCAAGGTGATCTAGCAGAGTTGTAAGTAAGGCGAAGGGTGAAGAGTGAAGAGTGAAGAGTGAGAGACAAGAAAATAATGAGTGAAGAAGGTCTTCCAAAGCTATACACCAACAAGCCCCGAAAAGGTTTGTTTTTTGCTAAGAAAATTTGTGCAAAATCAAATCAAACCAAACTCTTATTTTGATTTAAGGTTTATGTCTTTCGTAACAGCGCAACTCAAGCATGTTCGAGGGCAACAGAAATCCAACGGCTTCTCCTCGCCGACGGCGACGGGCACCCACGGCCCAGCCGCTGCTCCGCCGCCGCCGCCAAAGGAGCCCTTTGTTCGGCGCTACAAATTCCTTTGGCCTATGCTTTTGGCTGTGAATCTCGGTGTCGGAGGTGACTTTTCTTCACCCCCAATGACCAAAAATCGTGTTTTTTTTTTTTTTTGTTTTTTTTTTTGTTTTTTTTTTGTTTTTTTTTTGTTTTTTTTTTGTTTTTTTTTTGTTTTTTTTTTGTTTTTTTTTTGTTTTTTTTTTGTTTTTTTTTTGTTTTTTTTTTGTTTTTTTTTTGTTTTTTTTTTGTTTTTTTTTTGTTTTTTTTTTGTTTTTTTTTTGTTTTTTTTTTGTTTTTTTTTTGTTTTTTTTTTGTTTTTTTTTTGTTTTTTTTTTGTTTTTTTTTTGTTTTTTTTTTGTTTTTTTTTTGTTTTTTTTTTGTTTTTTTTTTGTTTTTTTTTTGTTTTTTTTTTGTTTTTTTTTTGTTTTTTTTTTGTTTTTTTTTTGTTTTTTTTTTGTTTTTTTTTTGTTTTTTTTTTGTTTTTTTTTTGTTTTTTTTTTGTTTTTTTTTTGTTTTTTTTTTGTTTTTTTTTTGTTTTTTTTTTGTTTTTTTTTTGTTTTTTTTTTGTTTTTTTTTTGTTTTTTTTTTGTTTTTTTTTTGTTTTTTTTTTGTTTTTTTTTTGTTTTTTTTTTGTTTTTTTTTTGTTTTTTTTTTGTTTTTTTTTTGTTTTTTTTTTGTTTTTTTTTTGTTTTTTTTTTGTTTTTTTTTTGTTTTTTTTTTGTTTTTTTTTTGTTTTTTTTTTGTTTTTTTTTTGTTTTTTTTTTGTTTTTTTTTTGTTTTTTTTTTGTTTTTTTTTTGTTTTTTTTTTGTTTTTTTTTTGTTTTTTTTTTGTTTTTTTTTTGTTTTTTTTTTGTTTTTTTTTTGTTTTTTTTTTGTTTTTTTTTTGTTTTTTTTTTGTTTTTTTTTTGTTTTTTTTTTGTTTTTTTTTTGTTTTTTTTTTGTTTTTTTTTTGTTTTTTTTTTGTTTTTTTTTTGTTTTTTTTTTGTTTTTTTTTTGTTTTTTTTTTGTTTTTTTTTTGTTTTTTTTTTGTTTTTTTTTTGTTTTTTTTTTGTTTTTTTTTTGTTTTTTTTTTGTTTTTTTTTTGTTTTTTTTTTTGTTTTTTTTTTGTTTTTTGGTGATCATGCAGGAATTTATGAAATGGGGTTTGTTTAGATTGAAGATGCCTTTTACCATGAATAATAACCATGGGTTGTTACTTATTATTGATCATGGGGTGAGGGAAAAACATTTTTTTTTTGGGGTTTGATATTTCATGGGTTGGAATATTTGATTTCATTTGTGGGCAAATGAGGAAGGCTAAATTGACACCTTGAGTTAGGTATCATTTGGTTTGGCCTATCAATGTTTATTTTGCTCCTCTTATTTGCAAAATACTCCCTCAAAATTAATGTGCTGATATTGGTTGAGGTAGGTTAGTTGATACTAAATTAAGCTGTATTTCACCTTGACATGTTTGTTCATGAGTATGGTGAGTGACAAGATAATAACTTGATGAGGGTGGTGGTTTCTTGGGGATGATGGATTTAATGATCCTCAGGCTCTGCGGTACAATATCTGCTTCTACATATGAGGGTTTGAAGCCAATGAGATCATAAGTTAAAAAGCATTGGAGGTGGCCATGACTAATGAAAGGAAAAAAAAAATAAAAAAGAAGAAGAAGAAAGCACATGATTAGAAAGGAAAGCTTTGACTTTTTGTCTAAGGATGGTTCTTTTTATGAAAGGCCAAAAAAGAGGCTACCCTATGCCTTTATTGCTACGATGCATGCTTGGTTGTTATTTTCTTAATATATGATAGTTGAGGTTGTTAGAAGCATCATTTCTGAGATCAGTGTGCTAGTTTCCTATCATTGTGATTTTTAGGTTGCATTTAGAACTGAAGGTTTGTGGTTTTGACAATTATTATCATTCTTTTTATATTGATTCATTGAATCAAGGTTTGACAAACAAAAATAATCAAGCTGATACCTTAATCATTTTTGGGACTGTATAATTGGACTACAGCATGCTGTAATCATTTTAATTCCATAAATTATCGATACATCATCCTATGTACAATTTTGCAAAAGATCAATAACTTTATACTTTTTAAATTTCACTAAAATAATGTGTTCAAACAAACTACAGTATTTGCCACTAATCTTATGGAAGATGATTGACTGGCGTGTGCCTGTTTGTAATACAGGATTTCACTATATATTGTGCAAGCACTTGATTATCCTTTACATGATTTAGTTAATAAGATAGAGCAGAAAGGGTATAATAATCAAAGACATGCAAAATACACAATATATTGAAAAATTAGGCTGTATTTCACTTTGACATGTTTGTTCATGAGTTTGGTAAGTGAGAAGATCATAACTTGATGGAGGGTGGTGATTTAGTTAGTAGTAATTTAGCCAAAGTAAGCTTCTCAATGAAGGATTCACATAACTGTACAATATATTGAAAACTTATTGTAATACACTGAATACATTTAACATGAGTCATTTAATATATTTTGAACAAGTGACTACTCTGCTCTGCTAGCATGTCATTTTTCAGTCTACTAGATATCGCTTGTGTTTGATCACAACTTAATGAATTTCTGTTGTAAGAACATATTTATTAGTTCTTGTTGCTAGATATTGGACTGATGATTGTCTGAACTCTGTAGCTTATCTGTTTATGAGGACGAATAAGAAAGATACTGGTGAGGAGGAGCAAGATGCAAGTCCCGTCTCAACTAAAGATGCTACTGCTCCTGTTGTTGAGACATCTGTGCCCTCACCACCTATTACAAATCCCGTGATCAAACGAGAATCAATTCCAGAAAACCAACAACGTGAACTCTTGAAGTGGATATTGGAAGAGAAGAGGAAGGTCAAGGCAAAAGATGCAGAGGAGAAACAAAAAATTGATGAAGAGAAAGCTCTGCTTAAAAAGCTTATTCGGTCAAAATCCATCCCAAGTGTCTAAAGATGTTCTGCTTATATTTATCAGCAGGGGAGAAAAAAAAAAGTTCTTGAATTGATTCATCCAATGCTTTTCTTTTCTGTTTACTTGGTTTGTTGATGAACTTTAGATGATACATTTGTTGAGATTTGAGAGTTCAGCATCACTGACATCCTAAATTGTCATTTGCAAAATTTGGGATGTGATTCACTGGTTCTTTTTTGTTCTGACAATGGTCAAGTTGATGGCACTTGATGTATAATTCCCATGTTCAATATATTTACTACTTTTTGTGAATAAAGCCAGATTTGAGTTAGAGCCTCAGCACATGGCTAGTGAGCATCTCTGCTTAGGTAATTTAAAGCACTAAGATGAGGGTAAGAATTAAATAATGCAAACGCAATGAATTTTTATTGATCAGATTATTTCAAATTAGTTCATGGAAGACACCGTTTCAATTAGAATCTCGAATCTACATAAATAGAAAGGTTGGGAAGTTTTCTGAATAATATTCTTATGGTTAAGTTACTCTATAGTTTCATGAGTAAAACATTGAACTGATGGACCTTTATCTATCATCAACTTATCTCCCTTTGATCTTATTGGTTATTTTCTAATATCCAAGCCAAGCATATTCTCCATGGTTTTTTGGGGAGCAGAATTGCATATTCATCATGTTGAGGTTTGAGAAGAGTGCCTAGAGATTCACATGGCCCTAGTGTAAGCGTGCACAAATCCCCAAAAGGATGTGGACATGAATGGCACTATGCAGACTGGCAGGGTTCCCACAATATGCATGCAAGTAAACCTCCATAAGGAAGCTAACCACTAAAATACTATAACTTATTTTCTCAACTGCTAGTTTTTATTTTCTTTTCTTTCCTTCTTTCTCTTTTGAGAAAAAAATTGCTTTTCTTGTAGTTGATGGTCAAGCTCCTCAAACTCCAAGAGAATATACAATATATATGAATTTCTTTCTGGGATTTTCACTGATTTTGTTTGATAGTTAAATAAAATTCAGCACAGCGCCGAATAATCTCTGTTGCCAAAATGATATTAAAGTATGAACGTTGAATTGGTTGCCTGAATCTGATAGGTTGTTCCCCTTTAAACTAAGACACAAAAGCTAACTCATGAATTGGGTTTAGCCTTATAAAAACTATATAACTAGAACTCGTCCATTCTGATAGTAATATAAAAATAAAAAATAAAACAATTGTTGACTATAGTCAAAGAGAAATTTATAAAAGCTTAATCAAAGTTGGGCAGGCATGATATGAAATAATCTACTTGGAGAAGAGGAGGTTTATCTTTAAATACCATTATATTCATGCAAATATGGCACTCCTATTCTTGCTTGGGCCATTAAAGTAATGTATTACCACTGCTACTGTACAATAATACATTATATTATTGCAATGTTAAAAAAAATATTTGATTAATGAAAATCACATCAAATAGATGTATATTAATCCTTAATTGTCAATTTTGGAATAACATAAATCATGTACATAAATAAAAAACTAATACATAATAAAGACATCCTAATGAGAGGATGATAAGAGTAATTTTATATAGTAAAGAGAAAGAAAAGGGTATGTGGCCTCTAGCATATAATATGAGAAAGGAAGGAAATGATGATAACGTGAGAGGTTGGAGAAGACCAAAATAGATTGAACAAAATGTTGATGAGAGAGAGTAGTTTTGTGGCGGGGTGATGATGATGGATGAATGTGGTTGGACTTATTGAGTTTCACATGAAGGCACGAGGTCATCCAACTGCTACTGCCAAAGGAAAAGGAAGGCCATAATCCAATGTGCTACACCAACAATCATGCCCTTCTGTGGGGACTTCTTTCATTCTATAATGTGAAACAAAATCATAAACTAAGCAAAACCAGACATTCATTATCAGTTAATATTTCACGATCTAAACATATAATAAAAACCTTATTCTCTCACTTTACTACATTTTACATTTCTTTTTGAGACTTAATTTGATATATTATCATAGATAGTGTGCATTTCTTGGAATTTGGGATATAGATAATAAGCTACTGATCTGAGACCGACATTCCCAACCCGATATTGGAGCCCCATTGCAAAACTGTTGACCCAGTTAAGTCCCAAGGACTAAGGTAGAACTAAAATTCTTTGTGCCTTGAGAATAAAATAATTCCATACTATGCTTTTCTTAATGTATGCATAAATATTTATATTCTCTCTAACGCTAAAAGTTAGCTAAGACTTCACAAAACCTCTCTCCTTCTCCCTCTTCTTGCACGCGTAAACACACATGCACACTGAAATCTTTCATAAAGAAAAACGTGGTTATGGCTGTGGCCACCATATGATTACGCATATTTAAGCCAAAGCTAGAAGTATTATAGACAGTGTGTGAGAAAATGATGGACAATATTTGGATTGTGTTTGTGTCAGTATTTCTCTTGTGCACTGTGATACTCTACAGAAACAGGCTTAGCCTTATGCTCAAATCAAAACATCGAAATCAACTTCCATTAGGCACTCTTGGATGGCCTCTTATCGGTGAAACCATTGAGTTTGTTTCTTGTGCTTACTCTGATCGCCCTGAGAGCTTCATGGACAAGCGACGCAGCATGTAAGTTCACATCACCAATAAATTTCCATGCACCACTGATTTAAGCATGCACTTTATTTCAGCTTCATTACAAGTTAGCTTCAGGTTTTTCCATGCCATCACATACGAAAGTTGGACTTCAAAAGGAAAACCATCTTGGTTGATAAAAGTCTTACCATGTGTTGGTTTTATGTTGTATCTAGAAATTTTTGTTGTTTTCAACAAGGATTATGATGTGTTGCTACTTGCAGGTATGGCAAGGTGTTTAAGTCACACATATTTGGAAGCCCCACAATTGTTTCCACGGATGCTGATGTGAATAAGTTTATACTGCAAAGTGATGCAAAGGTTTTTGTTCCTTCTTATCCCAAGTCTCTTACTGAGTTGATGGGGGAGTCTTCTATTTTGCTCATCAATGGAAGCCTTCAGAGGAGAATACATGGTCTCATTGGAGCTTTCTTCAAGTCTCAACAGCTAAAGGCTCAGATCACCAGGGATATGCAAAAGTATGTCCAAGAATCAATGGCAAGTTGGAGAGAGGACAGCCCCGTGTACATACAAGATGAAACAAAAAAGGTTAGTTCTGTTTCCTTCTCTTCTCTCTGACTCTGAAGGGTGCGTGAGTGTTTGTAAATGTGTTCGATCACCAGGTCTATGTGTATGGAAGAATAACCATTAGAAGAAGTCGAACTGAACTCCTTAATGGATCTCTATATCTCTAGAGATTAATCTCTCACTTTCACTTTGGATTCACCCCCCAAAAAAAATTGTTTATGCTTATCTTTGTCTGCCTCTATCTCCCACGTGGTGTAGAAGTCAGAATCTAGCTCCAAAGTTAGCTCACGGTGGCTTCTTGAGAATAGTTCCATCAAACAGACACAAGATAAAACAAAAGATGCTGCTTCTCTTAAATCTATATTTGGCTGCTTCTTCTATGCTCATGTTGTTTATATGAAAGCATCCACTCCTCCAAAGTTGTATGACAAAATCACCGCACTTTCTCCTAACGTTTATGCATGAGTTACTGAAGTAATAATTGGTGATTGAGTTATCTTTCGGACAGTTTTGCTCCTACTTAAGTTTCAAGATGATATAATTGTAAAGTGAAAATCCTAGTTATCTTTACGGGGTTCGTAATCATTTTTGTAGTAATCATGCTACATTGAAATTGAGATTATCAATAATAATTTACTCTTTTCAAAGATACCAACAATTGCTCCTTTTTTGTCCCCAGATTGCTTTTCATGTACTAGTCAAAGCATTGATTAGTTTGGATCCAGGAGAAGAAATGGAGCTTCTAAAGAAACATTTTCAGGAATTTATCTCTGGCCTCATGGCTTTACCAATAAATCTACCAGGAACTAAACTTTATCAATCTTTGCAGGCAAGTCCATTAATATATATTGATTTCTTTTACCATACATGTCATGATGGACCTGGCAATAATGACTTTCACTTTTTGGTTTTAGGCAAAAAAGAAAATGGTGAAATTAGTGCGGAGAATTATCCAAGCTAAAAGAAATAGTGGCATCTGCAAAGTTCCAAAAGATGTGGTGGATGTGCTTCTTAATGATGCAAGTGAAAAACTGACAGATGATTTAATAGCAGATAATATTATTGATATGATGATTCCAGGGGAAGACTCAGTGCCAGTTCTTATGACTCTAGCTACAAAATATCTATCAGAATGTCCTGCTGCTTTGCAACAGTTGACGGTATTCTAAATTTCCTCTTCGCAAATTATAATGGAATTCACCTTATCACAGATAATAAGCATCGTTGAATTCTTAATAATCTCATTTTGTTTTAGTAGTTTAGCACAGGATTCCTAATGGCCTAGTCTAAAAGTAGAAAAACATTTTGTTGTTACCATTATGTTTCTTTTCCACCATGTATTAAAGATTTTGTATTTTTCTTAGGCACAATTGGGTAGTACTGATAGTGTTATGTCCTTTCTACACTAGCTATATGACTGAACCCTCAAGAGTGGCCAACATCACACTCTTGGCAGATACGTATGGATTTTGCCCTTCCATTTACTAAAGCTCTTGAATAATCTCTGGTTGTGGCATATCATATGAGATTGCAACATGTGCCTTTAATAAAGTCTTTGAACTAATTTCCTGATTAGCTTTTGCCAAACTACTTTTGGTGATTCTCAGGAGGAAAATTTGAAGCTTAAGAAACTTCAAGATCAGGTTGGGGAGCCCTTGTGTTGGAGCGATTACTTATCATTGCCATTTACTCAAACAGTAAGACCGCCATGGCTGTTGGCTCCTCATCAAAGACAAGTAAAAATAATCCATAATTTTTAGTTAACTTAATTGTGTGCTCTACTTGTGCAGGTCATCAATGAAACTTTGAGAATGGGAAATATTATAATTGGAGTTATGAGAAAGGCCTTAAAAGATGTTGAAATAAAAGGGCACTTAATACCTCAAGGGTGGTGTGTGTTTACAAATTTTAGATCAGTTCATCTAGATGACAAAAACTATGAATGTCCATATCAATTCAATCCATGGAGGTGGCAAGTAAGAGACATCACCTACTCCTAAGTTATTTGAAAGTTTCTTTATGTTTTATTTGTATGAGTCTTTTTGGATATAATTTAGAAGCATTTTTTAATGTATCTCTTACCGAAAATAAAAAGTTTTTTTTTTTTTTTTTTTTTTTCACTCAGAAAGCTCTAAAAAAAGTTTCTA